AGATTGGCGTTGGTTTGCAAAGGTTTTCTTTTTTTCTTTAAATGTATTTTCTTTGATAATTATATGGTATCAAATGCTTATTACAAATTACATGTGTCATTCTTTTATTGGTTTATTTAATACATCACTAGCAAGTGCAACTCACGCATATGTTTTGCTGGGCACGGGTGTTTACTTAACACGCTTAATAGCCTCTTGAAGTATCTAAATGATAAAAGGGTCAGTTAAAGTGTTTGTCTGATCGTTGGGGACAACTTAAAGGGGCCCTTTATGTATTTCGCCATTTTTTTTATTGCGCAAAAAGAATAGAAAAAATTTGAAGATTTCGAAATTCAAATTTTGCAATTCTTAAAGGTAACTTTTCAAATTAGTTTTCCAGCTCTCTTTTTAAGAACAAATGCTGAAAATGCTGGTTAAGATGTTTTACTGAAATTGTCTTTGAACTTTAGCTTGTCAATGCTCTTTTCTTAACAAGAGTGTTATTGCATTACTGAGTTTGTAACAGGACTATGATGTCATCAGTTATCTGCCTCTGCCCACATATTATCACTGTTTGGCACATAACTTTATTTACACAATCCTTTCTAAGTACCACAAACAGGGAAACAGAAACATCTTTGCTCCAGCAACACAGCTTGAACTTTTCCCACTTCTGATAAATCGTGAAACTCTTGTAAGCCCTCGACCTTGTGACTTATCTGGTCTTTCAACCTGTTTGTAGAGAGAGAGAGAGATTTTGCTTAGGTACTTTTGATTAAAAGAAAAGTACATGTGAGTGCAAAATGTTAAATACATATCATTACTTTTAGGGCTCATTTGGTACGAGGGATAATTAATGCGGGATCAAATTTGAGATGAGTTTATCCCACGTTTGGTTGGGATAAAATCGGGGTATAACTAATCCCAGGATTAGTTATCCTGGGATTGTAGTGTTTTTCTAGCCCCGTGGGAGGGTGGGATAACGTTTTCCAACCAAACAACCCCTTAAGGTGTTACACGGGTTGTTGAACAACAGAATACAATTACATGTGAACAACAGCAAAAGAAACATAAGTTTTGGAACTGATACGAGTCAATACATCACGAACCGAGCTGATTAAAGAATGTTATCAGGGTAGGTGAGAAAAATAGTATACTTTAATGTGACTAAAGTCCTCAAATTAGAAAGTTCTTCAATAAACAATTTGAGTAGCTAAGTAATGTTGTTTAGCTCCAAACCTTGTCAAGGAGAAGAAATTGGATGTGCAATATCAGAGACCTGGAAATTAATTACTATAACAAGATTCAGTAAAAAAATGAAGCAACTTTGCACATTGGGAGGTCAGAAAAGTTTCAGGACACATATTGAAGAACACACGTACCAGGATGTCTTGACTTAAATGTGTTGGATCAAGTCTAGCTCATAAACTTGCTACAGGCATGTGGTAGAACGTTGCATGAGAGATGTAACTCAGTTTCTCAGAATCCATAAGTCTAAAATCCACTGCAACTACAGTCAAGTTTCTTCCACTTCTAATAACGGTTGCATTAACTAGTACTTCTGCCTGTGGGTACCTCCAATACAAAAGGAGGATAAATTAGCGAAAAGGCAGGATGCGGATTAGACCACAAGAAATCAAATATTGCAGACAATAACTAACTTGTTCTGTTGACAAATATATTTTCAGACCTCAGTAAGCCAATGGAATGGTAAAACAAGATAACTCAACATGACAGTGATGTCCCCACTTTGTAAGTCTAAGCCAGTTTTATCATTTTCTCATCCAATATTTCTACATGGATTCGCCATGTTTGCTGTTAACAAATAACACCTGTGCAGTTTTTATAAAATTGTAAGAAGATTCAGAAACACTCAGCACTGTGGCAGGTCACAGGTGCAAACAAAAGTTGAACCGCGTACAAATCTCGATATGCTCCTCCTTGATGCTTAAACTACAAGCATTGCATTAACACGGAGAACGCTGACAAACAAATACCTAGAGACTCACATTTCGAGGAGCACCAGAGAGATAAGATATGCTCAATTCTCCAAGAAAGAGCTCTTTATCCTTTCCAACAATAGTTCGGGCACAGGCAGTTGCTATCCTTACTGTTACATCTCCAACAGCTCCTCCATGCAGTGAACCATAGATATTCTGCAAGGAAGAACCCATGTGTTTCAGCACTCTTAATTTGTCAGAAACAGCTAAATACCAAAGAGAAGATAGTATACACTTGATGCAATGGTACATAATGCAACTGTTGGGTTTTTAAGGTATTTAATTAATATATTAAATACTTAAAAGAGGGTGAATGGGAAATGGAGGGAAATGAAATTTTTGAGTGAAATTTTAAGTTCCCCCTCCCTTGGCAAATGGGCATTGTCCCATATTGGAAGAGGAAGAGGTTTTTTATGGGTATATAAGCAATTGCTCTTCTTCTAGCTCTTAAAGAGTTGAGAAGAAGGCAAGCCTCGCGCCGTCGTCGTCGTCGCTCGCTCGGCTCGGCTTCGGCTTCGGCTTCGGCTTCGGCTTCGGCTTCGGCTTCGGCTTCGGCTTCGGCTTCGGCTTCGGATTCGGATTTGGTCAAACGACACTATTCGGATTAGGATTAACTTTTTGGACCAAATTTATTTGTTAATAGTAAAATATTAACAGAAATGTTATTAAATATTTGTTTTAATAACAAAATATTAATATTAAATATTAATATTAAATCCAATCCGTTTTTCTGTTTTGGTAACAGAAAAGTAACTACCCTCTTCAATTTTCCCTCTTTATTTTCCCTCTTTATTATTGAGTAAATGGCCATTTATGTAATGGCATTTATGTTGTGGGCGTTTTGCATAAACAGCCATTCTGAAGAGACCCAACTTTGGCTATAAATACAACACTATTCTGCTCAGAATTTTAACTACAATTTTCTGAGTTTCCTCTCCTTCTTCTGCATACTTTTAGCATCAAAACAAAGCAAAAAAGTAAGTGTGATTTGCTACCGAACTTTGTGTTCGCTGAAACACTGGGGTTTGAAGTACCACTACACCAGTGTGTAATTCGTTCTATCCTGGGAGGAAATAATCCATAACCTTGGGTACTAGGAGGGGATTAAATTCCTTAAGGAAACACTGTCAATTCAGTGGGCTCGAATTGGTTTATGTCATTTCTGTTTATATTCATTACTGTTTATATTCATTTATATTTCCAGAATTATTTTACAAATACAGTCTAATAACAAGCTTAAGGAATTTAATATATTTTCTGTATTTGTACTTACCGTTTCTGGAAGAGTAAAACCTTTGTGGTTTTGTACTCTATTAAAATCTACGTGATTTTAACGTTTGTGTCATTCTTTTACAGAAATGACTAATGAAAATGAGAACCAAGCCATTCCAATGGTGACTGCCAATGCCTCAACAAGCCGAACGACACCGGAAGCATTGGCACCGGCGTAAAAACCCGGAAAATTTTTCGGGATTGATTTCAAGCGCTGGCAGCAAAAGATGTTCTTCTATTTAACTACTCTAAGTCATCAGAAGTTCATTAAGGAAGATGTTCTTGTGCTGTCCGATGAAACTCCAGAAACTGAACGCTTTCTCGTGATTGAGGCGTGGAAGCATTCAGATTTTTTGTGCAAGAATTATATTCTAAGCGGGCTGGAGGATGCTTTGTATAACGTCTACAGTGGCGTGGAAACGTCAAAGGAACTGTGGACTGCGCTTGAAAAGAAATACAAAACCGAAGATGCCGGGTTGAAAAAGTTTGTTGCTGCAAAGTTTTTGGACTACAAAATGGTAGATAGCAAGTCTGTTATTACCCAAGTCCAGGAATTGCAAGTGATTATTCACAATCTCCTTGCTGAAGGTTTAAATCAAATTAATATTGATGTTGAAAGTAATAATCTTAGTATTTTTACTAACAGAAATTTCATTGAAGGTCTTGTCATCAATGAAGCATTTCAAGTAGCAGC